AAGGAAGGAAGGAAGGAAGGAAGGAAGGAAGGAAAGATGGATGGGAGGAGGGAAAGATGGATGGGAGGAGGGAGGAGAGAAGGAAGGAAGGAAAGATGGGAGGATGGAAGGATGATGGATGGACAGATGGGTGAAGGGATGTTCAAGCACCTGAGCCCAGCTGGCCTGCAAGGTGATAACTCTCAGATGGGAGGCTGCTCAGGGCTGCCTGTCTCAGGTCCAGGACTTGGAGCCCAGCAGGCGTGGCCCCACTGGTGGGGGGACCATCAGTGGGCATTGATGGGGGACGAGTGGGGCGGAGGCTGTTCATCGACTGCCTGCTGCCTGTTGGCAACGTCCTCTGAGCTCCCCCTCGTGCAGAAGCATCAGAACCTTGACCCAACGTTCCAACCGTCTGGGGCTGGTCTGACGTCCACACGCTTTCTGATGTTACTCAGCCCAGTGCTCCACCCAGACGTTCAAACGCATCTTGCTGCCCTGGGGCCCTCCCTCCCCAACAGCATCCGCGGTTAGCCTGGGAAAGCAGCCGCGGGCGTTTGGAATTCCCACAGCTTCTGGGTGTGGAGTCCTGCGGCCAGGTCACCTCGGAGGACAGCTCTGAGGAGGCCAGAGCTGGGGAGGAGAGCGGCTCCCTCAGAGCAGCCCATGGTGTAGACGCCCCACAGTGCAGGGTGGTGAAGCTCAGTGGGGAAGTGTTTGGCAGAACGTTCTGGAGGGCACCTCTTCCGGTTGGGAACGATGGCCCCAACATCCCCCAGCTCCTTCTCCCGGCCGTTTCCCCAGGGTGCTCATCCTCGAAGCCCCTGCACCAGAGCGGTGCCCCGGCCAGGCAGATCCATGACCCGGAAACAGAGGCGCTGGCCTGGAACTCACCTGCTCCTCCAGGGAGGCCAGTCTCTGCTCCATGGAGCCTGAGCGCTTCAGACTTTCCATTTCCAGCAGGTCCACCATGGTGCTGACCCTGAAAGAACACCCAGCTGAGCCCAGCCGGGCCGGCCCCAGGGGCCTGGATGTCGAGGATACACAATGCTAGTCTGTAGGTGCGAGTCCCTACCTGGGACCCCTTAACTTCAGGCACCTTCCCCTGAATCTGAAAGTATTTATAACCCGTTTCTGTACAGAAGGAACACTGCCCACGGCCCCAAAGGGGAAGATCTTCCAGCAAGTGGACGCCCCCAGCTCACACAGCCACAGTGCCAGCCGTGGGAGCATCGCCGGGAGTCACACAGGGATGAGCAGTCCTCCCTTTGATTTGCTGACAGGCCGCTAGACAGCCAAGTGCAAAGGTCAAAGCTGCTTCTGGGCACCGATGGGTTCGGGGGATGGGCAGTGCCGTCTGTTTGGGTTTGTCTGATTTTGCTACCACATGGGGACGTCACCCAACTTTGGCTGCCAAGTGTATAGGCAAGGGGTCCCGCGGCCGAACGCCGCTCAGACTCTCCTGCCTGGCTGTGCCCGGCGTTTCCTACTTCTCCCCTCAAGGGCACCTTCAGAGAACGCTCGGAGTAACAAAGTCAGCAGCCCCTTCAGTGACCAGTGAGTGCTGAGCTGGGCCCGGGACCCGCTGTGAACAGTTCTCGGGGGGGGCGGAGGGGGGCGCAGTTTACTCCCCCCTTCACCACGTGTTCCCCAATCCCACAAAAGCCACGGAACCGCTTCCTGCCGTGTTCCCCAAGTCAGCCTGCGGATATGCTGTGTGGTTACTGGAGAGAAGGTGATGGGGTGGCTTTGGACCCCTGTGACTCAGTCCCCATGACAAGCTTGTCAGAGACCCCACCTCCCCACCTCATCACCAACAAACTCCCACCCCCACCCCCTTTGTAGGTGCATGTGGGGGTCAGCTCAGCTCAGCCCTGGGGGCTGTGGGGCCGCACAGGCCATGCTGCCTCCCTGGGCCTCGGAGCCCTCACCCGACCAAGGAGAGCAGGTAGGTGGCTGGTGCAGGGCAGCATGACCCCCTGCGTCTCCAGCCGAGACAAGCACCCGCTTTCCATGTGCCCTCCCTCCGGCACGCTCTGGAAGCTGTGCCAGGCGATGGCAGCCATCATTGGCTCCAGCCCACGGATGAGCTGAGAGACACCCAGCAAGGCAGGTGCACAGCTCTGAGGAGAGGGTGCTCGCCTGCCTGCAGGGAGCCCGGCCGCTGGCTGTCCCCCCCCCCCCCCCCCCGCCCCCACCAGGCGGCAGGACGCCCCTCTCCCTGCACGGCCCACGGGACTGCACCAGGGCCAGGAGCTGCCATAGCCACATGGCACGTGTCCCCTCCTCTCCTGGCCCAGGGAGAGACACAGGGCCAGCAGGACCAGCTCCCCCACCCCTGCCTCCTAAGGAGGTCAAGGGTCAGCCCTGCCCCCAGTGCTGGTGCAGCCTTCACCCTCCTCCCCACCCCGCGAGATCCGGGCTTCCCAAGGGGGGAGCCACGGGTCAGCTGGAGGACACAAGCTTCCCGCCCCAGGAGCAGTGCCCGGGCCTCTCCCCCAGGTGGGCCGTGTCCCCGGTGCGACTTGGGGCAGTGGGGGTTTTTCGCGCGCCCCTGGGCTGCCACGGCCTCCTGTACTTATTGCCAATGTCTTGAATCTTCTGCTCCGGCCTCTGCTTCTGCTGGTACTGCTGGTTCTGCAGGTAGCTCTCTTTCAGGTAGATCTCCCAGGACAGAAGGGCGGCCTCCTCGTTCTTCTCCAGCTTGCTCTCTGCGGGCGCAGGGGGGCGGACAGAGGGGCCTGAACGCCGCGTGCAGGGGACACGGGAGGCTCTGGCGGGGAGGGGCCCTGACGGGGAGGACCCCGCCCCACGCCCGTCCGAGGGTCTGCACGCCTGCTGAGCCAACAGGGTTCTAGAAGGAGCAGCCACGCTCACCCACCGGCCCCCCGACCGCACCCCAAGCCAGCGGAGTGCGCCCCCGGGGACTGCGCAGGCGGCCTTACTGAGCTGCTTGCGCCGCCTGGCGGGGATCTTCAGGACCACCCTTTTGATGAAGAGATGCAGGTGGCTGAGGAGGATGAAGGGGGGAGGCGCGGGGGGCCTGCCCTGGTACTCCTCTATCAGGTCGTGACGCTGGAACTTCCAGATCTGGTCCGTGTGCTCCTGGACCTGCTGGAATGTGTAGCTGGCGGGAGGCAAGGAGAACGCGGGTTACAGGAGACCCGGCCGGCGCTGCGAGAAGGACCCGCCCAACGCGCTCTCCGGGGGCGAGGAGGACCCGCCCACCGCGCTCTCCGGGGGCGAGAAGGACCCGCCCACCG